TTTTTTTTGGTGCCAGTTGTAATTTCTGGGTAGGATTCTCAGAAATTTGGTGTGTCTTTAAATTATTGTCATTTTATCTTACTCGCTCTACTCAATACCCTGTATTCTAAGTTCTAACAATGATAAAAATGCTATATGATGGCAACAAATTCTTATAGGCAAGCACTCTGTATGACTGCTGACGCCCCACGTGGGCCCGCATCCTGCAACATCACTTTCTATAGAACCCACTTTAGGTCTCTCCAATGTCCAGTATCACATGCTGACGCTAAGGGGTGATTGTGTATAAGTTATTTGGGTTTTGAATGGATTTGTTGAATAACTAGAGTTAATTTTGGAAAGTTGATTGTGTTAGGTTTGGGTGATTTTAAGTTCGTCTTAAAATGATATTTAAAATATAATGATTAAAGTTGATTTGATGTAAAAGTATGAGAGAGACGATTGAAGGTGATGGGCAGTTAAAGTTATGTGAGTGGATGAATAGTGAATTAATGTTGATGTGATGTATGAGTATGATTGATTGATATTATTTAATTATATTGATAATATTGAGGAGGGTTGAGTTGAGTTAATTTTGAGTTGAAAAAAAAAATATTTGGTCAAAACTGACCAGATAATCTGTATCCAATCAGGGCCTAAAAGTTCTCAAAAAGGGTTTGTGCATAGATTCTATTCAAAATACAAGCCATGAAAAATATTAAACTTAGCATACGTATGGTTGACAAAATCTCCAAATCTTCACCACTAGTAAACCTTTTTTACCCCCTACCCTGATTAGCTTCGCCAGATACCTTTCCCGCAGATACTCATCCATTTGTACTTTCCTTAACCTGTCTGCTCCTCTGTGTGCATGGGGCCAGGTTTTAGTAAGAACGTTGCAGCTGGGTTTGAGATGGTATCTTCGAGGGGAAAAGGATTCTAACAATGGAAAAAATTGTTTAAATGATATGAATGATGTGTACAGCTTGGTCTTGCTATTTTGAGTCCTATGAGGCCTTGGTTGATGATGACAATGTAAGATGTCTTTCGCCTGTGAGACGCTGTAGCTAACAGAGTTGAGCTAATATTGGCAATTTCTGTTTTCATTGGCAATTTCTGTTTTCATTGGAGAATTATCCCTAAGAATGCACTTTTTGACTATTCTAAATCAAATTCTGGTTTGAAATGACTCGTCACAATTCACAGGGATATTGCGATTTCCTTTCCGAGGAAAAATTACTTGAAGCAGTAGAAGTTGGTCAGGTATTTACTTATTTTAAATGTCAAATCTTCTCGCTTCTCCTCCTATTGATGTGATTTTACTATGATGTAAAAGAAACTTGTCAATCTTTCTTACAAATGAAACCAATATGTACAACAATTTATCATTTCTCCTCAACTGGGGTATAGGAATTTTAGAGACTCTGTCTTCCCAGGCTTAATTTTCTCTGGTTGATTGTTAAAGGTCATGAGTGGGTATAGATAATGCAACCTTATATGTTCTATCATGCATGAATGTTTTTTTTTTTCTTTTTTATTTTTGGAGATTTCTGAACGCACTTGTGATGCTGGGCGTGCTAATTCGTGTCAATAAAGAAAAATGTAAAAAAATGCTAGATAAATATTAGTCACCAATCCAAATTGCTTGTTGAAAAGAGAATCCATTTCATTCTCCACAAACGGTTGGAGTGCCACATTGGTCCTGCTACATTGGTCGAATGCCTGAATTAGCTTTAAGCTTAACAATTTCAGTGTAACCTTTTTTTTTTTAAAAAAAAATGATATACTTATTAGCGGTATTGAGTTTGTGAAAGTGACCATTACTTTGGTTCAGAATGCTGTAACAGCTATATGCAAAGAAGTGGAATCCTTGGTGAAGATGTGTGGAAAACCAAAAATGATTGACGCAATTAAATTGCCCCCTCCGGAGCTGTATAAGCATGTTGAGGTATGTTGTACTGATCTCGTGTGAAATAAACATCCTCAAATGATTTTATTCAATCATTTTCATTGCATTCATGCTTACTTTTTTTTAAGTGCTCTTGTGTTGTATATTTGCTTTTAATTACTGTAGTACTTAAAACCTGTGCCTTGACCCTAAAGTATCAGGACCTCTTTCGCTTAGGGACGATTTTCTTTACGACAAAGTAACCTCCAAATATTTACTTTTTTTTTTTATTATGTGCTTCTATTTTCTGCTCCCATCATTTAACTGGCAGGTGCATATCCAAAAATAAAGTTTCAGGAAACAATTTTTCAGTGTGATCGATTAGATATATGTAGTTGGATGACAGTGCACTTGGATATGCTTTTGTTGGAATTTTTTTTTTCCACTGGAGAAAAGAAGTTTTCGGAAGGAAATAATTGTGAGAAGTGCGCTTGATGATAAGATGGAAATATAATGATGAAGATTGATGGATGTAAAAAATAAAAAAATAATGAGTGGTAATTATAAATATGTGAGTGGATGGATAATCAAATTTATAGTAAATTCTATGGTAAAGTTTGGTTCTAATTTAAAAATTGTATTATTGAATTTGAGGTGGGAAAACTTGAGATGAGTGAATAGCACTAATTAAGAAATTTTATCTGGTTGGATGAAAATTCCTTCTAATTCATATCCAACTGCAGGTTCGACCTGAACATTTTGATCTCTCATCTGTATTTTTTGAGTGCTGGAGGCATTTATATTGGTGCCATCAATGCCCAAAATTAGTTTTATCAGTATAATTTGTGTCGGAATGTAATAATTTAGATACATGTTAAAACCTTTCAATTCATTTCATGTAAGCCCTCTTTTAAGTCATGACGGTGATTTTTGATAATATTCAGGAAATTGCAGGTGATGAATTAGTTGAAGCTCTACAAATTAAGAACAAAATCCCAAGAAGAAAGGCATTATCATCTTTGGAAGAGAAAGTCTTGAACATACTTACAGAGGAGGGCTTTGTTAGCAGGAATGAAGCTGCTGTTTCTACTGAAACTCTACCGGAAACGCTTGAGGATGAAGAGGACGAGGAGATTGTAGTTGATGGTGAAATTGATGATGGTGATGTTCGCATCAAGCCAGTCCCAAGGAAGATCACTCCGTTGGTAATTTCAACCTTCAAGAGCTGCTTTCTGCTTGTATATTAATGTGTTGTGAAGGTTTTAATACTAGCTTAATAATGTGTGCTTTATTGTAATAAATGATAGATTAAATTTTACTGCTAAGTGGACCTAATTTGAATATGGTGCCTCAACCTAGACTTCGTTAGCTATGTTGAATAAATATTGGCATCTAGTAGAAATCCAATAACACCTATCAAATGTCTCGAATAAAATATGTATTGCTTAAAATTTGTTAACAGCAACCGTTTTATTGGAATAAAGGAGTGATAGCTGAGTTGTGGAAAATGTCTTTTTCTTATGTGCCTTTCTTTCGAGCCTAAATAAATGCTTAAAAGTCATCATTTGGTGGGAATTGTCAGCTCTTTGTTTGTCTATGGCGCACATGCTATTGTCTACACAAATGGCTTGCAAGTGTGAATCTAG